ACATGCTCGACCAATCTTTGGTCAGTCTCAATCATCAATCGTTAAATAACAAATTCCAACCAAACATGCTGGAATAATGAACACTTGAACAAACATCAGTGTGATAAGAATTACATAAAATGACAGAAACCATCTTTGAGAAACATTTGTTTGATGCGTACTTTGACTTTTTAATTTGGTCAATATCAACATCAATTAACATGGAGGAGGCAGGTTTATGACCTTTACATCAACCAGCCTCCTGTTGGCGACAGAGACGTTTTAGCTTCACCTTTTAGGACCAGTCATGTCGTCCCTCTCCAATAGTTTCTGAAGGTTGAGACATGGACATTTAATTATTCTCTTTTATACTATATGCAAATTGTTCTTTAATTTGATCTGTGAAATGTAGCATTTCTTGAAAGGCAAACTGAGGAGAAAGTCTGGACCCAATTCTCCAGAGTTCTTCCACAGGTCAGGTCTGAAAACGTCTTTTGTTTAGGTGTTAGTATGCTTACATCTGATAATTAGCTCGAAACACAAAGCTAAGGTGGGAGAGTAATTTATATTGTGAATGTTTTGGTCAAATAGAGACAATTCTTCTGGTTAGTTCGCTGGTGTCGCCAAATACTTTCCTAACATGTGGTCCTTTGTAACTTGAACTTTTTCCTTTTAGTTTTCCCATTTGTATGTGCCAGAGAATACTTCCTGGTTTCCTGATTGTTCACCAGGTGGACATTTTTGAAACAGAATGCTGCAGATCACGTCTCCAAATTTTTACACGCCACTTAAAGCAACTTCAGGCTCCATCCCAAGGTAAAAATGGAAAGAGACACGTTAACCCAGTGAGCCATTTCAGAGACAGCCATTAGGAACTGCTTTTCCAAGTCTGCTCATGGGACTAGTGGCAGCGTTGGACCATCTATCTCTATAGAGAGAGAGAGATTAGAGAGGAATGGGGGAGACGACGCTTGGTGGTGATAGAGAGGGAGTTGCAGGGTGAGAACTGTCTTCTTTATCCTGGCAGGGCTCTCTACACATTAAAACCAGATGCATCCAGGCTCCAGAGAAGTGAGGTGCATTATGGATTGAACTTTGAGGTCTGGATGGCATATTTAGAATCTGCCAGGCTCATCCATCAACCAGTCAAGCATGTTCATGACTCCTTTTCCAGCAGGCCAGAGGGAACAGAGCAGAGGTGTGTGGGTCATGTGAGTCCACGGAACAAGTGGCCAGTGTTTATGTGAAGAGCAAACTGGAGAATAGTCACCTATCTGCGAGAGGGAGAAGATTCATGGCTGCTGTGTGAGGAAGAGTGTTGTGTGTGTGAAACCACAGTGACGTGCCCATCAGCTTAAAACAACCTCCCTGCCTGCCCCGGCCTCTCTGTGGTTTGTTTACACTGAGAGCTCATCCAGACTGCACGTGCACATAGCTACATGCACGTCCCAATGCACAGCCTGAGAATATGTGTGTACCCCAAACTGCAGAGACAAACTTGAAAAATCGTCTGTTTGTCTAACTGTCTGTCTGTCTGTTTGTCTGTCTGTCTGTCTCTCAGTCTGTCTGTCTGTTTGTCCATCTGTCTGCCTGCCGCTCTTTGGGCAAACACACACACACACACACACACACACACACACCTGTATTAGCCCCCATATTTTCCAGACCCAGTTCGCACAGCTGGCTTGGCAACATCATGTGAATGTGGTGAGACTGAGCCAGAGAGTTCTGCAAATCAAGAATGTGTGTGTGTGTGTGTGTGTGTGTGTGTGTGTGTGTGTGTGTGTGAGTGTGTGTGTCTGTGTCTGTGTGTGTGTGTCACTGTCTCCATGTCTGTGTGTGAGCGAATTTTTGCATCTGTGCATACAAACATGTTTATATCCTCATGTTTTTGACTGTGTGTGTGTGTGTGTGTGTGCGTGTTGCAGGATGTGAGTGATTGCTCTGTGAGGGGGAAGGATGATGGAGCACAAAAAAATGAATCATCAGCAGACGGCTTGGCTGTCCTCTCCCACTGTGTCTGTCTCAAAGCCTCCTGGGATCTCAGAGCTCTCAGGAGTCCTGATTGCAGAACTCCTCAATCAACTCCCACATAATGGGGGCGGTCGCTTGGCCAAATGGTAAAGGTGTCTATTCCATATGTCCGAGATACAACCATTCATAATGGGTCAGGGTTGGTATGCAGAGTCAAAAGTACTTTGCTGAATGAACGTGAAGGATAAAGCAGGTATGCAGACAGTCATCCCTAATAGTTAATGACCATATTTTTTTAAAAGAATAATTCATCTCCCTTAAGTTGATGGATGGAGCACATGGAGAAAACATTAAGGTATAGCCTGTTTGGAATATGATTTTTATTTTTCAGTGTTTGAAAAAGCTTTGTTTTTATGTCCATAATGATTTAACACTTTCCTTAGATTTTCCAATTAAGTTTTTTGAGTGGCCAATCTGACTTGGTGCCACTTACTGAGGAACTATTGTTCAGTTCACCTGTTGTGCACTGACTTAAAGACTTTGTAGGTTACATTAACAGTTAACAACCTGTAACTAAGTGCATTGAATAACAAAACCTTTTTTTCCAGTAAACCTCAAAGTGATTGGCAGATTATGGACTTGTAGGTAAAGTGTGACAAAAGTAATTTTACTTGAACTATTCGTGAGATCTGTGTGTTACCAATGATTAGTGCATTATAGCACCAGACATGATAACAATACAACAAAAGTCAGATTTTTATGATTGGATGTGTCCATGTTAATCAAAGTCAATACAAGAAAACGTTTGATTGTGTAAAATGTCAGAGGAACAGTCCAGCTTGATCACTGTGGTCATTTCCATCAACAGTTGAGCAACTCTTTCAGTGGGTGTGCTCACATCCACTAACACACTCATCATCTGTGTCCCAGTATCTTGTGGCTAATCTGTACCAGATCTCCTCTCTAATCCTTTAAATGCCTGAGGATCAACATGATGGGCTCTTTAAGATGAACATGATGACACAAAAACACACCTGATGAGGAGAACGCCAGTAAAACTCCCAGCGCCGCTCCACAGATTCCTGCTGCGGCTTCCAAACAATAACACAGAGGAGGGAAAACAATTCACAACAAACAAGATTACAGCTGCACAAGCTTAACAGGCATTCCATTAAGTACATCCTCCAGACAACAAAGGCAAACAGAGTTATCTTAGTTTTTATGAGAACTGAAAAAACAGAAAACATCTCCCATGATTTCCTGGCAATCTGTGGCAATCACCATGGAGAGCTGGTGGACCATCAAAGATACAATCAACCACTAAAGACACACAGTCAGCTCTGTGCAGCTCGGCACTGGCTCTTATGTATGCACTGATTTATTTTTTGGCAGAGTTGATGTTGGTGAGAGTAACTGTATGAACAGAGAGCACAGACATTTTGTGGAGAGAACCATCAACAATGATTCAATTCTTTCTGCTCAGCCTGCTGTCTGCTCAGGTCGACTGTATCTGCTCGCTCTGTGTGTGTGTGTGTGTGTGTGCAGCATACACTCATTTAGTAACTAGTGGATGCACAGCGTTCCCACCCGTCTCCACTGTCTCCACCCTGTCCTGAAATACACTGGGCAGGATGGCCAGACACACATACATAAACACATACACTCAGGCCTTGTGAAAAATAACTGAAGTGATGCTTTATTAGTCCTTTCAGGGGCTAAATATTTCCTCAAGTCAAACAAACAGTTCCACAGGGGCAGCTGACTGATGACTCGTTGAATCAAACAAGGACTGAAACCAGGGGGCGTTCACACTCAACAGGATTAATGGTAAACTGTTGGATTGAATTAGACAGTTATTGGTTTATGTGGTTATGTGTTTATCCTGCTCATTTGTAATGATTTAGTGACATGAGATGTTAACATAAATAAATTCGGTGTTAATGAACATAGAACTTTCATTCATTGCTATGCAGATGGTCTTGCTTTTTATATCTGCAAAGCTTTTCTCTCAGGTACACTTCATAAACAGTCCATATTTGTGCCGTCTCGACTCAAGCCTGTGTTGAATTTAGACAAAACTAAACTTATTTTTAAATGCTAGGAGTGAGACCACGTTGCAGACTCAGGGGAAGACAGGTTGATATTTAATATGATGACTGTCTTTTTTTAGGCGACATGTTGAAAACCTTTTGGAAGACTGAGTTAAGTTAAGTTTATTTTAGACTTTTCTTTCCTTGAGACCAGAATAGGGTGGTTCCAGTCACCTTTTCACCATTTCATCATTTAGGTGATTTATTTATTTGCTGCAATTTTCTTTAGTTTACTTCATGTGTTGCTATATGTTTTCTCATTGTTCTGTCTGCATATTATACAACCTCATTGGGCCTTACCTGGTAAAATAAAAGATTTAAAGTTTCCAATTTTTTTTTATTATAGGCGGTAATATCACTAGTATCTGCTGGTCAAACCATAATTACTTATTCATAAATTCAGTGATTCCTAACTGTTATTTATCAACAAATATGTAATCAACGACAGATTGCTCAGATGAAGTGATGTATTATGAACTCTTAATTACTAATAACAGATTCCAACAAACTACTGATTATTAATAACCATGAAAAGTTGCTAACTGTTCTACATTCCTTCACTTTATTTTCTGACAGTTATATAAAGGTTTGCTGATATGAACAGTGAACTTTCTATTTAAATACCTGTGAGTGACCATGAGTTATTATCGTCATAGACATCTTTAAATGTGGAGCTTAAAGCAGAAGTGGATGTGGATAAGTTGCTGATAGACATTTAAACAGAGCTTCTGACCATAAACACCCTCAGTAAAACTGTGCTGTGCAGCAGGAGGAGAGGAGGACGTGTTCTCCCCTGTCGGTTGTACATGGAAGTGATCCAGATCATGGGGGCTGGCCTGGATCCAGGTGCAGAAAAAAAACCTGGCAGGATCAGTTAGAGGGAGCACTGCACTGAGAGCACACACACACACACACGCACAGTGCGCACACACTCTCACTCACACAGAGTCAGAGCAGAGCAGAGGAGCTCTCATCCAGATCCGTGCCAGACGCATGGTCGACTTTTGGTTTTTGCGCAGCTTCTAACACCTTTAGTTTCATTTCTACCTTAAGATTAGTTAATATTTAACTTTGTGTCAACTTTGAGGTGTTTTTAAAGTAGATTGTTCACGCCTGTTGGATATATCCTTTGGAATTAGAGTTGGATACTCCACGACGCACAGGTACAGTAACGTTTAAGGAGAAGTTAAGGCTGAGTTGATGTCACTCTGAGGGGTTTAGTCTACAGTCGGTGTCTGGATGATGGTTAAATAACCTTTCCTCATGTTATTCTCTCTCTTTTCTGCTTTTAGAAGTCATCTTCGGTTAAACCCGGATTATTTCTTTCCGACGCAGCAGCTCAAGGTTTCTCCAAGGAAAAAAATCTATCCGTGCGTCTTCGCTTGGGCTGCTACTTTTTAATCGAGCCGTCCCAGAAATGGTGGGGCACCTACACCTACAAGCGATGGATGATAGCCTGAAAGGAAAGAACCGAGAGGGGCTGCTCGACAGCCCGGATTCGGGACTGCCCCCGAGCCCCAGTCCGCCCTTCTGCTCGCTGTCCCCGGGTCTGATCGAGTCGCGCTCCAGCAGCTGCACGACGCCCGTGGAGAGCCACCACGGATGTTATAGGAAGGAGAGCAGAGATGGAAAACTGGTGAGAAACACATCACTTATTTGTTTCGTGGTTTGAAGGTGTGGGGATCAGACAGCCGCGGGTCTGTTGTGTATCCAGAATGATTTTACTGACAGTGGCTTCATTGACCAACTCAATTCAAAGGATGAAAAAAGATCCAATGACGCTGCTGTTTGAGACACTGACAATCCGAGACTATTGTAGTTGTTTGGACTGAAACAGATTTCACCCAACATCTGGAAGCTCTCTCTCTCTCTCTCTCTCTCTCTCTCTCTCTCTCTCTCTCTCTCTCTCTCTCTCTCTCTCTCTCTCTCTCTCTCTCTCTCTCATGCTGAAGATGCCACTGGCCCCCCAACAGTCCAATAAAACGTTTTTTTTACTCTGCTGCATCAGCTGGACCCTCTAAATACATGGTGTCATCAGGGTCAGTGAGTTGATTAGGCCCAGCTGCAGTTCTCCAAACATGGGGTCCAGGGACTCCCAGGGGTCCCTGACTGGATTCCAGGGGTTCAAAATGAAAAAGAAAAGTTGTATAGCACTTCTTATTTCAGTCAGTAGTGTGAATGTGAGTGGAGGTGTGTGAGACTGTGATCGGGTTTCTTTCTCCTCACCTACAGGATGGAAACACATGTTTAGCATTTTATCAGATGGCTCCTGAGACAGTTTTATTGCTCTGTCAATAGAGGACTCAGATGGAGAAGTTTAGATAGAGCTTCTTCTTCTTCTTCTTGATTATAATCAGTGGGGAACTTTTAGATGATAAGTCTGGCTCTTAGCTAAATTAACCTTGGAATAAGCCAGCATGAGCAGGTCTGTGTGCTTTGTTGAAACCATCTTTATGCTTGTGACCCAAAAAACGATAATCACTATAAAAACCATACTTTTGAAAAACTCCAATTTGTGAGTTAAAACATTTTTCTTTTCCTCGTTAATCCTCTTTTGACCCCTCTCATTAAACAAACCCATGGTGGTTTAGTACTTATTTATGGGACCTGCAGCATTTGCTATTTGTAATTATGTCTCTGGTTCCACCACCTTAACATTAACTTGAGTACTGACATTTTAAAGTAATTTTCAATATCTTTTGTTGGAATCATTGTAGTTTTTTTTTTAAGCTAAAACTGCTGCATCCATTGAAACATTAAAAGGCCCAAAATGAGAAACTTTCAAAACAAAGTTGAGTATTAGATAGAACGCTGTGCAACTATTGGTCTAATAAAAAATTAGCTTAAAGCTAAAAATACATCAGCACGTGGAGGCCAGTATCTTGCTTGATTTATTAAAGTTCAGTTCTCTGTGTGTGGAAGTGGAACAACAGAAACATTAAGAAAAAATTGATCCTATTTGGTTCTGTTTATGTAGCCTCAGTATTTATCAGTGATGTTGAAACATCTCTCGTGTTGATGATAATATTGTTACAGTTTCTGTCAGCCCCAGTTCCTGCTCAGATCTCACTGGAAACCAGCACGACCAGTCAATAATATTTTCACTTCTTGTTTTATTTATGAAAAAGTTTAAATGGTTCTCTGCTTTACACATAATGTACTTTTCTGATGAGATATTGCATATCCAGTAAATTTATATAAATAAATAGTCAGTGCACCCAAGGCAATATTAGTCTCATTACGGATTGTTTACATAAAAATTAAACAATAACACAATTCTTTGGAACATCTTTCAGAGAAAAAAAGATTTATGCTTATTGATGCATTTTCTTTGGACAAATAAATTATAATGTCACATCCTGCAGCGACTTGTGTGTCACATATGTCAAGAGGGATTTGATTGAAAATCATTTCCAGGTCACTCCCAGTTTTAAACAGTCTTGTGAACATGTCTGCGCAGGTCGGGGTGGCTTTTAAAGTGTCTGAGAAATGTGGCGCTCCATCCGGGGAGTTGCACGACATCGGTTTGCTGGAGCCTGAAACTCATGAAAAGAGGGAGAGAGATCCTCTAATCCTCTGGAGGCTCAGATTAGAAGGACTCCTCTGCTTTGTGGTTTCTCTTTTTAAAGATCAGTCCTGATACAAGCTGCTCCTGCTTGTGTTTCTAATCCTGTCTGTCCTGGCTTGTGTGCGTGGAAAAAAAAAAATCCAACCTTTGCATCAGGAAAAAAAGCGTTTTTTTAAAGATGTCAGGAACAGGTCTGGCAGCAGGAGCATGGGAAGCATATGTGTGCTCAGGTTGTTCTCTTTCCAGATCTATTTTAGTGTTGTTTTTGTGTGCCACATAAGAACAATCCCCAAGTCCTATTTTGAGGTGCAGGGGCTTGTTAGAGCGGCTGGCTGCTGTTGCATAAGTGTTTGATGACCTGTCAAATTAAAGGTGGATAAACACTGAGTTGGCCTCAACTTGGTTCAAAGTCAAGCAGATGCAGGATAATCAATCTTGTACTTGCATCTCACAGAGTGAATAGATTTACAATCAGGACAAGATGCATGAAAACTGCGAGAGTGTAATCTTGAACATTTCAGAGCTGGATAAAGTTAAGTCCACATCCATTCCAAGGAGGTGGCTCAACTGTCAGTGGATTACCCAGGAGGACAGACAGGAGACAGATCTCATGACTTTCTTCTAAATCTGCCTCACTGTGTGATACTGATGCTCACATTAATACCCCTGCAAGCGCACGATGTAAAGTCGGGGCTTGAGCGCTCCAAGCAGCCAGTGGTCGCAGTGTTTGTGTTGGCGTTTCTCTCAGCAACTCTGCATTGTGCATTGTACGTTGTGTGGGTCGCTCAGCTGCAGGCTGTTTTTCCTGGGCAGAAACGTGCCTCCAGGGGGGTTTGTGCTTTGTGAGCATACCGGGGTATCCAGCGCCTGAAGGTGACCTCCGCTCCATTCACAAGTGTTTGCTTTGCAGAAGTTTCCAGAACTCACTGTGGAGAAATAGATGTGATGCTCTCAATGCTGGAGCAGCAGAGGACAATCACATTGTCCTGCAGTGTTTTCGGGTCATGAGGAACCAGCAGCAGAAAATGAGCCGCCTGCATATGAATTTTTTTTTTCAACCTCGTGTAGCAAAACCAGTAGCCATGCAAAGCAGTCAGAGTGCGTGGGGATGATTGTAGGCTGTAGGTAAGACGAGCTTCACACAGTGCTCTGCTGTGCCCTTGGCCTGTTGTTGCTCGTCCCCTGTAGTGGCATGTGTTCTTAACAGCGGCCAAATCACAGCATGTGACAGTCTCTCGTGTGTAATGTGAGAGTTGTGGTCATGGGTGTCATTTGCTTCAGATGGACAGTGTTTGAGAAAGAGAACATCCAGTCACATCCTGGCCTCACAATGAAAGACAGGATCTGTGTCTCTGATTGGTGCAGACCTGTGTCTCCATATAGCTGTGGAGGGGACGGTCTGAGAGGTCAAGGGTCAATACACGGTTCATACAATAAGTTGACTACAGTGAACATACTGTACATGGTGTCATCATTAGCTTATCTGACATGATGAGGTTAACTTTATCCAACCTCTGTTAGAACAGACATCATGAGGGAATCCTATGAATATTAAACTGTAACAGTCATATGATTCCTATGATAAATTAAGTATATGTTTGCAACAGCTAATCAATTTTGATTAATTGTTTTTAAAGTTTATTTATGATATATTGTAAGATGTCTAGAAAGGTCACATGTACATACATGTCTGTTATTTAATCGATTGATATAGAAAATAATCTGCAGATGAACTGGTCATGAAACATTGTTATTTATAGCACTAGAACCCATGATAGCAACTAACAGTGAAGCTACAGCATGAATGAAATCTGAAGATTCCAAAAGTATTTTACAGATCACAAATCATCAGACTGTGTGTGTGTGTGTGTGTGTGTGTGTGTGTGTGTGTGTGTGTGTACCAGTATAAACACTGACCTTGGTTAAGGTTAGCGTTAAGGATAAGGTTTTGGTTAGGCTGTCCACAGTGAAAGGAAGTCATTGCAGTTGAATGGCTCTGATGGCTGTTGGAGGTGGGGCAATGAGAACGGATACGATCAGATGAGAGACGCCATCACACATGAAAACTCATAAAAATCATAATTCACAAGAACCAAGAAGAAATATGTCAAAGGCATCAGATGTGTCTGTGATTAGAGGCTGTTTTTCATTGGTTCAAGTCCCCATCAGACCCCATATCACTTCATTATGATTCTCAAACAGCATTGTCTCCACAAAGCCTGACTGCCAGCTTCTCTGCTCTTAACTTCCTGCGAGTGAATTTCCCATTTCATTCACTTCTGTAGTCAGCATAGTGTGTGTCTGGGTCACACGTCTGTAGTCAGCCTGAACTGCAGTGAACGCTTGTGAGAAAGTGACTTCCCACCTACACTTCATCTGGCTGGACCCACACTGTGTAATTATCTGAATTAAAATGGAAGTGCTGCCCTGACTGCTGTGTTTCTTGTCTAAGTGTTGTTTTAGTGGTGCGATGGACAAGGTGAGTTCTCATGCGGGTTGGAGCATCGAGGAGTGTTTTTAATTTGGGCCGCTGGCTCTGCTCAAACCCCCAACCATGCTGCGATTTTCTTTACTGGAATTCCTTGAATGGACACGTTGGCAGGCTGGTTACTAGCAGTTCCTGGATGTTTTAGTGAGATTCTTGTGTCTTTTCCACAGCTGCCCTACCTGCTGCTGAACTCCACAGGACCAGACCCCAAGACTCGCATGTACCCCGTGTTCTTTGGGGAAAGCATCGAGGTCAACCCCAAACCAGAGCAGGAAATCAAGTAAGAGGACACATACAGACTCAACAGTGGCTGCAATATGGTGTTTAACATTGTCTTTTCAACACTGCCCCCTAGTGATCAGTTTTAGATGTGTGTTTGAACTGTTGAATATCTCCTCTCCAGGTGCATCTCTGAGGTCAAGTATGACTCCGACAAGCATTACCGGGACCGGGTTTACTGCGCCCCCGTTCCCATGGCCACTTCCTTCAGCGAGACAGTGGTAGCGGTGCAGAACTGCACTTGGAGGAGCTACAAGTCCCAGGTGTACCTGGAGCCGCGGCAGAGGCCCATCAGCTACCAGAGCACCACCATCATCTACCCGAAACATGCCAAGAACACTTACCGCACCACGCTCAACTACAACGCCATGGGTTCCCGCCGCTGGTTTGTCTCCACGGTGCAGCTGGAGTCGAGCGAGGACACTAGTCCCTGTATCATCTACACAGAGGACCTGTAGAGCCCAGCCTGTACAGGGGGATGGCTACCTGGCAACCATCTTGTTTTTTCTCAGAGGATGAGGATCGAGGGAGGGCCCGTTTTGAAAAGGAAATACTTCAAGTGTTGTCTGGAACCCCTACAAACCCTGCTCTGTTCATCTTTACGTGCCATGGAGGAAACTCTGGGAACCTTCAGTGACATTTCACCTGAGTGTATTTAGACTTTCTACTGATGCCGTCTTTAAAGGGACTTCTGGCAGTTTAAAGCTGCACTTGAATGGTTAATGTCTTATTTAAAACAAGAGCTGACAAATTGGTGGCTTGCCGGTCGTTAACAATTAGATTGCAGACGTCTGTGTATGTAGAGAAAAGTCGAGATGACACAAGTTGTGGGAGCTAGCGCAAACCCCAGTCACGCCAATGCAAAGCTTGCTAATATGGCTTTATTGCACTTGTTTTCTATATATCACTGTCCTCTCAGTGGACGTGGAATCGCAGGGGGAGAATTTCAGTTCTGCGTTTGAAAAATTGGACCAAAGACTGTTTATCTCTGCAATAACTCCACACTATGAGACAGTTACACAGTTTTAACTAAACATTTAAACAACAGCTTGTTTGGTTTGATCAAGCACTCAGCTAGAATATCTGCACACTGCAGTTGTTGGGATTATTCACATGAACCGGAGCGATGTGTATAGAGTGCAGACTGAAGTGTAATCCTGCAGCACCATCACAGCACAGAGGAAATGATGCCTGGAGAATATTTTAAAGATGTTTGAAGCCTCCAAACACTGGTTTCACATCTCAGAATTAATATTGAACTGTGTTGGATCACTGGACTTTTGGTTTTAGCTTCATTTGAATACTTTGGGTTAAAACAATGTCACAGTTAAGAGTTTTGTTTTTAGGAAACTGGTTCTTGTTTGGTCTCAAGGGGGTGCTGGAGAGCTGGAGAGCTGCACAGCGACAATCAATGTTAAAATGTATGGGAAATATATCCTCATGATAGCAGCTTTATTTATTAAGGGTTTAATGCCAAAAACTGATCTGCTTCATGATTGCAGGACCACATCAAATGTAGTTACAGAATTATTGATAATACTGAACAAATGTGGCCTTTGAGAAAGGTGGCAAACGGAAACTCTTGGATCAGTATAATCAATAACTTGTTGTGGTTTCACTCAGACAATAATGAGGCAAAACATGAGAGAATCAGAGGGAAGTGACACTTCTCTGTCCAACTCTTGTTACAGAACTAACACGGCGCTCACCTGTTGACTTCTCCAATACAACTTCTCTGGAGGTTTCATGCTACAAACAATTGACGTGTCACTGTTTCAACTAACTTCTCGATGAAAGGCCAACATTGTTCTGGATTGCACCAGCTATTCATAAATGTGTCACGTAGTTTGTGGATAAAGTAGCTGCTCATTAACTCACTCGGTAACATCACTGTCGCATCAACTCACCAAACTGAGACAAACAAGTTTATTCCTACATTTAAAGATTGTCATCAATTTTTTACCGAAAGTATCAACACCAAGTGTAAAGCGCTAACTACAGTATATTGTGCTCTAAAATACCCTATATAGTTGAATGGGGGGGGCATTTCGGACACAGCCATAGTGATATTTCAATGTCCACTAAGTAAACTTTTAAATGTATGAATTGCTGGTGCAGCCAAGTGTTTCACTTTGTTTTCTGATACCAACAAATTGACATTGAGGGCAGTTTCTGTTCGATGTTGTTTCAAAAGCACGAAACTCCTCCGGTATCACCAACATGTAAAAAGTGGAGCAGTGATTAAATTTCCCTGTTGAAGATGTAAAATAGATGTTTTGAGCGTTTTCATGACTTCTTTATGTGTCTGTCTTATATATATAAATATATATATATATAGATCATTGAACATGGCAAATATTGAGACTTCAGACTTTACCTCAAATTTTCTAAGGTATCAGTTTTATGTCATTGCAAATGTGTATTCCCAGTTTTTTAATGGAGGTCGTGAGCTTGAGATCTTCTTTTATTTCATAGTTTGAAAAACCCTCGAGGTGTGTGTACAGTCGGAAGGACATGAAGGGCATGAATCTGAGGTGGGTCATCACATACTGGGTTTAAATGAGGGAACAGTAAGTAGCAGAACAAAGAGCGAGACAACAGGAGCAAACAAACGCGATGTTGTTCTGGAGACAACTCTGTGCAGAGCAGTAAAGGTCCTGGTTAGATGATGGAGAGCTGCGCTATGTGTTGATGGTCTGTGAAATGTGAGACAAAGTTGGTGGGTGTCAAGTCAAACACAATGGTGGTTTTTGTGTGAGATACTTTTTGTGTTTCCTAACACTTGATTTTGTTACTGTAAAATATTCTCCTATTGTATATGTGGCATTGAGGCACTTCATAATTCTCTTTATATTTTTGTACGTTGATAATTGTTCCTGCTCTGATCAAGGAAAATAATTTAAAAAGATGCATATCCTAAATGAATAAAAAAGAATTTCCTGAATCCTAATTCTGTTGTCCTGAGTGAATCTTAATCTTTAATTTGGATTACATGACATTGTATTTCCCACAGGTTTAATTGTATCCCTCTGAAACCATCTTGAATGTGCTGCAGGGTCCTGTTTATCTCAGCAAATAGTGAAATGTAAAAAGTGCACGGCATATATATCATCTCTATGTTACCTACAATCTCGTTTATACTGAGAATTATTTTCACCTAAGTGTTTTCAGGCCACAAATTTTGGGACAGTAATGAATTCATTTTGCGTCAGACTCTTTGCTTTCAGATTACATTATTTGTCCCAAGGGAAATTTGTCTTGGACATTAAGGCTGTCACATAAAAACACATACATACAATAGACATGAAGTATTCACATCATTCAGTGCCTCGTTATTTTTCCCAGTGCTTAATAAGACTGAGGTGAAACACTGAACTGGCCTGGCCAAGGTTTTACAATTACTGAGGCCTGGTTTGAGGGGTTCGGGTTCCCAATGAAATCCTGGCCAAAGTTGTGTTTATGAAACAACAGACTGGTGGATTGCTCATGATACATCATGCTGAAAATATAAAAGCTTCAACGTGATATATCAGGGCACAGAGTATCTTTTTAAAACTTCTCAGTGTACGAGCAAATATTAACTCAGCAATTTTCTCAGCAGTAAGTCAGGGATATAAACCTGTGCTCAGTGAAGGAAGCAGTAAGAATTAATGAAAACAATTCCCTCCAGTACAGAAAAATGTCCCTGCTACATTTATTATGTTTCATCTGATGCCCTCAGAGAAAGGTTACTTGCCCCAATTTGCTCTTCATCTGTCAGTGGTAACTCCACAGCAGGTGCAGCCACACCATTCAAATGCCTGATCTGAAACTTAAAGGTCCCCTGTGGATTTATTTGGCCACCAGTAGTGATAAAGAGCAATGTTTTATAATAGTAGATCCCAGTTTTGTTTATTCTCATAAATGTGCATGATTTTGATGGGAAGCAACATAATGATTCCACACTTATCAGCAGACGAAGAATAAATGCATTATTTCTTTTCCTCTTTCTGTGGGCTTTCTCGTTTTGCAATTAAGCATGTGTACAAATAGTTTATCGAAAATTATACATACCAAATTCCCTTCCCTCCTCACCCTCCCAGGTCCTTTGCATCTAATTGAAGAGTTACATAACACATAATCAGAGACACATACACAAAATAATAATAATAATAAAATACAGTGAGAGCAAGACCATCAAAATAAATAGATTTATAAACAACCAGCTTCAACATTGTTCAACACATATACACATATATACATATGTAAAGGCAGTATGCCGTAATCTAGCAGCTTGTACAGTTTGGGTAATGTTGGACTTTAATAAGGAGGTGCCCCAATATGTGACGTTGGTTAAACTATCAAAGTAAATAAGAACTTATCCACGCTCCCCCTTAAAGTGAATTTGTACCTTTTCCAATTTAAGGTAAAACATTATGTCCCTGATCCACCTAATGTGGGATACAGGTTTGTGGTTCTTCCACCTAAAAAGTATTAGATGGTAAATGTTTTGTATTTATATAGAGCTTTTCTAGTCTTGATGACCACTCAAAGTGATTTACAGTACACTTTGCCATTCACACACATTCATGCAGTGCATCTAATAGCAGCACTTTTCCTTTTATGAGAATAAGAGCAATTTGGGGTTCAGCATCTTGCCCAAGGACACTTCAGCATGCAGATGGGGAAGACTGGGGATCGAACTGCTGACCTTCTGGTTACTCTACCCCTCAGCCACAGCTGCCCATGTTGCTGTTGGGACAATAGGGGGAATAGGGCAGCAAAGGTCACTACATTGTTCACGTTTGGTGGCCAATCACAGTCAAGCCAAATAAAGCTATTAGAGGATGTGGGTCGATATTTGTGCTAAAAGTTCCACTCAGGGATTTGATCATTGGAAGCCAGAATGGATGTAGAGCAGGGCATGACCAAACATGAATCAGAGTTGTAGGTGCATGTTTGGACCAGTCTCAGGTGGGGTCATTGTTAGCCTTTCTAAAATGGACCCGGTGAGCCACCATAAATTGCATAAGCCAATACCTACTGCTTGAGAAGGAAGAGTGTATCTGTTCCAAAACTGCATTCCACTGATCACTGGAGAGAGGTTTGCCAAGATCTTGTTCCCAGAGAGTTCTAAGGCTATCAATGGGCTGAGGGTTCATATTGGTCAGTACAGATCAATTGCTATGAGAATATTTATTGGTATATCTGGGGGTATCTCAGGAAAAGGATGGTAACCCTTCTGTACAAAGTGCCTAATCTGAAAGGATAAAAGTGAGAATGGTAAAAGTGAGAGTGGGGTAAGTTAAATGTTTCTACCGATGATTGAATGATACAACGCCCGGTCCAACTTAGCTGGCTTGAAGGCACAATTTTAAAATTAAACATAATATTTGCATGTTCGATGAGCC